CTGTGTTTTAAAATTACATTTGATATATTTATTTCCATTAAACACCCAAAGGGGACTTTTGGAAATCAAACATAATTTCGTTTGGGGGTTTTATTTGTAAATATTGGAGCACCTCATGCCATCTCTGGAGACCCTCAGGGAGGTCCCCAACCAAAGTGGGAATTAATACCTTTAATGAAGAGGGATTCAGGGCAAGAATCAGATTTCCTGCAACCTCCGCGCCCTGCCTTGGCTAGTTAACTCCTTCCTATCTTTACCTAACTCAGCTCAAATCGCACCTCTTTTTGAGCCTCAGTATTTTTGTGTGGTAACATAGGCATCACGTTAAATTGACCACTTTGTCATTTTTAAGCGTACAGTTTAGCAGCATCAAGTACATTCACATTGTTGTGCTACCCTCAGTTCCGTCCACCTCCAGAATTTCTTCATCTTCCTCAACAAAACTATCCCAGTAAAACATTAATTCCTTGGTTGCCCCACCAGCCCCTGGAAACCACTCTTCTGTTTTCTGTCTCTGTGCATTTGACTGCTCTAGGTGTCAAATGCTGCCATTTATTTATCTATCTATCTATCTATCTATCTATCTATCTATCTATCTATTCATTCATTCATTTAGAAAGGATGATGCGGGAGGGGCCAAGGGAAAGGGAGAGAGAGAATCTCAAGCAGGCTCCCCTCCTAGCGCGGGACTTGATTTCATGACCCTGAGATCAGGACTTGAGCCGAAATCAAAAGTAGGACGCTTAACTGACTGAGCCACCCAGGCTCTCTCAACTTCACTTTTATTTTAATCGGTTATACAGTACAGTGTTTAAAGAGTCAAATAGTTTTATAAGACTTGTTATAAAAAGCAGCCAAGTCCTCATTCCTCCCTCCCACGTCTTGCTCTCCAGCGACAACCATATTGAATTCTTTTAGTCTTGACGTTCACATCCATAAACCTAGGGAAGGTGCTTATATTGCTCCTTTTTGATTTTTCTGTTTTAGGCATTGTCTATTGATTTCTCACTATGAAAAATAAGAATTTAGCTTTCCCATAACTCCTTTGAAATGTGTTTTATTGTGAAGTATATCACACATATGAGAGTCTTCCATAGCCTGCTAAAAATAAAATACTATTGCTTGTTCAGCTGAAGGACACTGTTAGAAGCCTGCATGTGCCCCTCATTGTGCTCCCTTCTCTTTTCCAGATGAAAGCACTAATCTGTGCTAATAATTTCCTTCTTTTTCCTTATAATTATCCTGTGTGTACATATTTCTAAACAATCTATTGTTGAGTGTTACCTGTTTGTGAATATAATATAAATGGAAACATATGGTATGTTCTGATTTTGCTCCTTTCACTCAGCTTTATGATTCTGAGGTTTGTCCACTGAATGTATGCAGCTACAGCTGGTTCATTTTTCTCTACTCTGTTGTGTTCGGTATGAATACAACTACACCTCCATTTGTTTGGTCTTGTCCATATAGCTGGTGCCCATGAGCAAGAGTTTCTCCAGGCCGCATAGGTGGGAGTGGAATTGTCAGGGCATAGGGTATGCGGTACCTTTTCAAGTTCACTAGGTAACAACTGTTGGTGGTAATCTCACCAATTTAAACTTCCACCAGGAGTGGTTGAGAGAGATCACTTGTGAGTGCTCTTCTATGAAATGGCCTTGCATATGTTTTACTCGTTAAAAAAATTAATGCACAGATGTTCTTTATATATCACGGTTATCAATAGTTTAGTGGTTTTATGTATTGTAAATATGTCTTCCCAGTTTGAAGTCAGCTTTTTTTTTTTTTAAGATTTTCTTTATTTATTTGACAGAAAGAGAGAGAGAACACAAGCAGGGGGAGTGGCAGTGGCAGAGGGAGAAGCAGGCTCCCCGCCGAGCAGGGAGCCCGATGCGGGGCTCAATCCCAGGACCCTGGGATCATGACCTGAGCTGAAGGCAGACGCTTAACCTACTGAGCCACCCAGGCGTCCCTGAAGTCGGCTTTCTATTCTCTGTCAAGGATCTTAAGAACAGAAGTTCTTAAAATTTAATTTAATTTTGTTGATTTTATCCATCTTGCCCTTTATGGGAACCTTTATGTTCTTTTTTTCCTTATGTCTTATTTACCAAAATTATTCCCCATCCCAACTTCAGAAAATATTCTCTATATTGTCTTCCAAATGTGTTACAGTTTTGCCTTATACATGTGAGCATTTTAATCTACCTGGAATTGATTTTTATGTGTGGTGCAATAGGGATTTAATTCCATTTTTTCCATCTACATCTACAATCATCCCAGAAACATATATTGAATAGTCTGTCTATTTCACAGTGATCTGCTATGCCAAGTCTGCAAAAAAGGAAGTTTCCAAATATGCTTGGGTTTGTTTCTGCACTCTATTTATCTGTGCCAATACTATAGTGTCTTAATTACTATAGCTTTATAATATGTTTTAATGTGTCATGTAGAAAGTCCTCCCACTTTGTTTTCAGAATTGTCTTGACTCTTAGGATGTGTGTTTGTGTTTTTTCGTATATATTTTTATCAGCTTGTGAAGTTTTGTGGAACTGTTGGGCTTTTGACTGCAATTACTTTGCATCTCTAGATCTATTTGGGATAGCTGAAGAATAAGTACACGAAGATAAACTGCAGAACATCCGAGACAAAGAAGATCTTCAAAGCAACCAGGGATCAGAAAAGATCACCTGCTAAAGAACAGTGACTAGACTAATCAATTATATTTTAACAGTAAAAATGGAAGCCAGGAGACTGTGGGAGATGTTTCCAATGTGCTGAGAGTAAAACAATAATCAACCTGGAATGGATACCCAGTTAAACTATTTTAAGAATGAAAGCAAAATAGAGGTGCCTGGGTGGTGGGGTCGGTTCACTGTCCCGCTCTTGGTTTTGGCTCAAGTCATGATCTCAGAGTCATGAGATCGAGTGAGCCCCACTTCGGGCTTTGCACTTGGCACGGAGTCTGCTTGAGATTCTCTCTCCCTCTCCCTATCCCTCCCACTTGTGCTCTCTCCCTGCCTCCCACCAAATAAATAAATAAATCCTAAGGGGGGAAAAAGAAAGAATGAGGGGCACCTGGGTGGCTTAGTCGGTTAAGCATCTGCCTTTGGCTTAGGTCATGATCCCAGGGTCCTGGGATTGAGCCCCACATCAGGCTCCTTGTTCATCGGGGAGTCTGCTTCTCCCTATGTCTGCCGCTCCCCCTGCTTGTGCTCTCTCTGACAAATAAAATAAATAAATAAATAAATAAAATGAAAGGAAAACAAAAACTTTCAAACAAATAAAAACAGAGAACATCACTAAAGGAAAATTTCAAAAGATCTACTTTGAGCAGAAGGAAAATGACCCTAGATCCTAGGTATATTCTCCTAGGAGGAAGATCAGGAACTGGGCTTGAGAGAACTCTTCCAGGGGAAAATCTGTTTACCATTCAGGTGTCTGGCTTTTATTCCTTTTTGAGATCTGTAGATTCTTACTCTCATGCCAACTCAGTGATGCCTTTTAAGAGTTACTAAAAATATGTTATCCAGCATTTTAGTTGTTTCACGTGGGCAGGATTGTTGGGGCATCTAAACCCCCCACCTGCAGGAGGTAAAAGTCCTCCAACAGAACTTCTTTCAGAAAACTCCGTGTCCTCAGTCTGTATGGAGTCCATGGTACCTCTCCTCATGGCATACTGTAGCACACACACCAGCTATATTTTTACAGTTATTGCATGCTCTTTAAATTAATTGTCTACTTACCCCATTAGAAATCTAAGGGCCAGGTCTGTTATTGCTCTCTGTTTTATTCCCACACCTTGGCAAGTGCCTGGCACATAGCAAATATTCAGTAGACATTTATTGAGTAAATGATTAGATGAATAATGAATTTTGAGCGAGAAGCCAATATTAGGTATTAAGTCAAGCAGAGCTGTGTGTCTCTGCTCCTAGTCCAGCCATTGGAGGTACTGCCGTAGGGCTGGTGAATTCCCACAGAACTCTGCTGTGTAATGTGATAGCCATTAGCCGCATGTGGCTATGTAAATTACTGCAATTAATTAAAATTAAATAGAATAAGAAATTCAATTCCTTAGTCACACTGGCCACATTTCAAGTGGCTAGTGGCTATCCCATTGGACAGTGCAGACATAGAACATTTCCATTATCACAGAAAGTTCTATCGGAAGGGCTGCCATAGAGTTCTCAAGAATTCTGAAGTGCCCTTCTCTCTTTCTCTCTCTTTTTTGCTCTTGCTCTCGATCTTTCTCTCTCTCTCCCTCTCTCCCCACCCCTAAACCAAAAAGACAGGGATAGTTGTCTTATTATTAGTGACTTAAATGATGCTTTTGAACAAGAAGATGCTGGGTACTTTTGGTGACTAGCACCATCCCACTTTTTTTTCTTTTAAATCCCTGAGCTATTGTTTACTAGTACACTCTTTTATTCCTATGTCTACTAAAGCTGAATGTTACTTGGGTGGAAAGCCTAATTGCTTTCTTTTCTAGGTCCTTAAACCCTTTGCTAATGTTTCTGTCTGAGAGTTCCCAAAGCCAGGGTTCTAGGAGAGTTTGGCATGTCTGAACAGCTGAACCACAAAATAATGGAGTAGGTCCGGCGGGGTGTGGGAGCAGGGCATTCTGTCAATAAAAGAGCTCCCCTCTCTGCACACATGGCCAGTTAATTGGCCATTCTGGGAAAGGATGGATGGGGAGGGGGGCTTCTGAGAATCGCCGGTGACAGTTAAGTGGCCTTTTGTTGACGTCCTCTGCTGAACAACTTTGTTGGATTTAGTCTCTGCTTTTCCTCGGCCTCCTGTGGATTTTCTGTTAGATTCATTTACCATTCAGGCATCATCTTTCACTCTCTCCTTCCAATATGACTGCTTTGTGTGCTGGCCTCGGCTTTATTCCCGCTCTTCCCAGATCATAAAGGGGGCTGTGTGGGGCTTCGGCAGGACCGAGAAATTGACTCTGCTGTCTGTCGAGAACCATAATGATCACACGGAGCTTGGTGTCTAGCAGAAAATGCACTACCTGCACCAGCCTACTGGCGACCGGCTGAAGATCGAGGAAAGGGAGTCTTCCCCGAATTCCTTCCCATGCTATGTATCTCTTTCCTTGGTTCCCCTCTCCATTCCCTTCTGTCCGCCTTCTCCCTGCTGCAACTCAAGTCGACCTAAGATGCAGCCGTGACTAAGCGTTAATGCTCTTGAAATAATACATTCTATTTTGCAGGCTTGGCCAAGCCAGTTCACCCAAGTTGTCTCATCTAATACCCCCCCAAACCCCTGTGAGGTAGGGAGGGGAGGTGTTATTAACCCTATTTTCCTGATGAGTAAACTGAGATTTAGGGAGATTAGGGCAGTTGCCCACAGTCTTTTAGACAGGAAGTGAGCACGAGGCCTCTGTCTAAACCCAGCATTCTTTCCGTGGCGTCCACACCCTTATGTGTGAGGAGGACGTGGCCCAGGGGGAGTGTGAGTGGATGGGGAGGGAGAAGGAGAGCAAAAGAGAAACGTTCCATGAAGAGGGAGGAAAAGAGTGATTTCCTTGGGCCTCTAGCTCTTCTCAACTTTCTACGAAGATGGAGGATTTGATGTCCACCAGAGGCTGGCCCAGCAAACCTCCAGGGAGGAAAGAAAGCCAAGAGCCTCGTCTTCCTTTTTCCCTCTTTCCTCTTCCCAGGAGGGCATTGGCCTAGCAGTGGGGAGGGGTGGCCCTAGCTCTCCCCGGGCCCTGCGTGTGGGAGTCACACGCTGGGTCTCCCCCGAGGGAACCTAACGCCCATTCTCAGGCCGGGCCTGCCGGCCTTTAGGTGCCGCGTTGTTTTGAGGCCTCGGCCATGCCTGCCCACGAGGAAGGCCCCTGAAGCTCGCCTGAAGGAAGAAGCATGCAGGGCGCCCCTGGAGGAGGCGTGGGCCCTGGCCCGTCCCCTGTGGACAGGTGGATGCTCCTGGTCTTCAGCTTTATTCTGGCAGCAGCTTTGGGCCAAATGAATTTCACAGGGTGAGTGGCTGTTCTTTAGTGCGGGGGGTAGTGGCTGTGGAGAGCTTGGGGACCAGGTGTGTGTGTGGGGGGGAAGGGGGAGGTGGCTGTCCTACTGGGACCTGGCCAAAGTGGAGGGAGTCGGTCCCTTAGTTCCCATTCAGGTCCATAATCTCCCATGCCCATGCTCAAGGGCAGGACAAGCAGCTGTGTTATTGTCCCTCCCCATGTGAGTTCTTAATCGGCAGCCCATGGGGAAGCTTTCAGGGCTCCATGAATCCCCTGATTCTTGATTATATGTAAAATTATTGGCCTATCTACTTTTTTTCCTGGGGGGAAGGTTTATAACTTTCCTCTGATTCTTAAAGAAGTTAGTAACCGCCAGAAGACTATGTCTCCCTGCCCTAGGGATGCAGTATTGTCCCCCTGTGAATAACAAGAAGCCCTAGTGTCTCACACCAGGCCCTCTAGGGACCTGTTTCTCAGCCTCCCAAAGATCATGCAAGGTGACTACTCCATGGTATGTCCACAGTGGTGATCAGAGAGGGGGTTAGTGAGGGGCTTCATCCTCCCAGATGTCTGAGCCAGCCAGGGAGGGAGCCGGCGCCATCCCAGGCAGCAGACCCCGGAGGTCACAGCTCCTCCAACAGGATGGGAAGGGGCTCAGCTTCTTCCCAAAAGGTAGCATGAGGCTGATCTCCCCTTCCGTGTCCTCAACCTCTTGAGAGAAGACCGGAGAGGGCCCAGGGTTTGGACAGATCACGGCCCCGGGCCCTTGTATGAAGAGCACTTGGGGCCACAGTTGGTCTCCCCTGTCCCCTGGATCTATGCCTTTCTCCCCTTCATTCCTTTTGTTCTCCAGCCCTCCTCCATTCCCCGCAGTTCCTTTCCCGTACTTCCTCCCCCGTCTTGGCTCTGGGTTCATCAGGAGCTCTGCCAGGCTTTCTTTAGTCCTTTAGGTGGTCTGTCCTCAGGCTGGAGCGGCCCCTATCCCAGGCTGAAGGACTTGTGTGCTTCCCAGAGCTACGCATCCTTCTGCTCAGGGTCCTCTGGCCTCCCAGCCTTCCCGCCAGGTGCCCTCGGCCTGGTGTCTTCTCACTCCACCTCCTCCAAGCAGCCCAGCCTTCCAGGAAGCCCTCTCCGCAGCTCCCTCTGCCCTCCCTGTGTCTTTCCAGAGACCAGGTTCTTCGAGTCCTGGCTAAAAATGAGAAGCAGCTTTCAGTTCTCAGGGACCTGGAGGGCCTGAAGCCCCAGAAGGTGAGGACTCCTCAGGGCTGAGGAACACGTTGTGAACTCTCTTATAGTGGCTTGCACTATGTGTAAAATTATTGGCATATCTACTTTTTTTCCTGGGGGGGACGGTTTATAACTTCAGCCCCTCGCCTGCTCCCCCCACCCCAAGCCTGCCCGCCAGACAGCTCTGCCAAAAAGCACAACACTGTGGAAAATCACATGTGGCTCCTCTTCAGGAAAGGTTGGGAACACTCGCTCAGAAGGTTGGGTGACCCTTCTTGGCTTTCTCCTCTGTCCTAGATGGGGGCCTGTTGAGCAGACCCCGTCAGGGGCCACTTCGCAAGTGACTGGAATGTCCCAAAGCCACACGGGAAGCACATAGGTCTCTGGGTGGGACGCCATGCTGAGTGCAGCCTGGACACATCTGTTTCCCAACTGAAATGGCTTAGCTTGGCAAACCTGTGTTTTATTTGGGTTCGTCCCTGTCAGGCTGAGCATTTGTTTCCAAGAACATTGTCCTCTGCAAGTATTCCATGATGGAAAACATTCTCTTCAACTGTTAGAATAGAAGAGTTTTGTTGGAGGGCTGTTGAAACAACCAGATATTTCTGGAGGTGGCCCGCAGCCCTTGTCCCTGTTTGTTTGAGTACCCCTCTCTCCCAGGATGCATAACACTTTATAACAGTTCTCTCCGTTTTACAAACTGGGAAATTTGGATGACATGGGAATCCAGATTGGGTGCCTCCCACCTCTCTGGGGCTTGGGGACAGTGATGCCTCCCTCTTCTGACCAGAGTTCTTGTCCATGTTCATGTCCCATATGATGAGCTGTCTCACTTTTAGCAACTGTGTAGGGCTCTTGGGGTCCAGGTGAGGTTGCAGTGTGTCGGGGAGACTGAGAGATGAAGGTGCTTGGAATTACGGAGGGGAGCTCAGTTCGGGGATTTGGTTTGTTTGCCCCTGTCTTTCTGCTTGGCTTTAGGGTTCTCATTTTGGAACTGGGGCCCTTTTAACCATGTAAGAGAAGACGATCACCTGGCTCCCTAAGGTGCCTAGAGGATGGTGAGTAAGGACGCATGATAAATGTGTCTATTTTCCTTTCCTTTGTGACCAAGGTGGACTTCTGGCGTAACCCAGCCAGGCCCAGCCTCCCTGTGGATATGAGAGTTCCTTTCTCGGAACTGAAAGACATCAAAGCTTACCTGGAGTCTCACGGCCTTGCTTACAGCATCATGATAAAGGACATCCAGGTGAGGTCCTGCCCCAGGGCTGCGGCTAGGGGCCCCCGTTCCACATGCCTTTCTGGTTTGGGCCCGACAGGGAGGAAAACAAGCCAGGGCTAACAGTGGACATCTTGTTTCTAGAGTTCCATCTGCATTCTTGTGAACCGGCTATGGAAGGAATGAAAGCTCACACTTATCAGAGAATATTTAAATCTAGGACAGAGTCCACAGGGGGAGGGTCTCCTAGTGTGATAATGGCGGCCACTTGTGGGCGAGTCCTCTTGGGGAGGGATTCGCAGCTCACGGCCAAGGAGGAAAGCCGGGAGGAGGGGGCAGGAGGAGGTAGCTCAGGTCTTCCTAGGCACGAGGAAAAAGCAGCTCTGGATGCCTCCCTTGGCTTTTCTGACTGTCCCTCCTGTCCTTGTGGTGTCTCAGCCATCCAGTATCAGAGAGTTCCTTCACTCCAGAGAAGTGGGAAGAGGTGAAAGAAACTTAACTGTGGACCCGCTGTGGTTTCCCTCCCAACACCGGTACGGCAATGCTCTCAGTCCTGGGCGCCTCTCCCAGGCAGGACACTCCCAGGGCAATAGCTCTGGGAGAGGTGGCTGCAGACCCGCCCTCGGGTAGGGCAGAGGGAGCCTCCCTCCCGGCCATGCCAAGCTCCCCACCCCCGCTGGTCAGCACACCTTACAGAGCCTTTTCTGAACGTCATGGCATTTTATTTCCACTGTTCTGTCTTCACAAATATCCCAGGGAGCCTCCTTCCTACAGCTGTTCTTGGGGGCGCCACGTGCCGGTTAGGCCTCTCTGGCCGCACCCCTCTGCAGATGCTGTTGGGGGCCTGCAGAATCGTAGCCACCTAGATGCCCCCCCAGCCACACTGTGACACAGCTCATCTCTGAGGGCTGGGAGTGTGGGAACCCGGTCTCCCGGCCGCACAGACTTGACACCACATGCCAGGGGATAAACGCATTAGGAACATTCCTTTCCCAGGCAACCACAGGGCTGGGCCACTTAGGTCCATTCAGAGACCTTTATCCCTCATCAGGCACATGTGTTTGCTGCTCAACGTGGACGGGTGGGCTCTTTCTCTAATTAATCCCCCACAAACCAAAATGGGGAAACTCCCGCAGACGAGACAGGATGCCGCATCAAAAGAAATAGCACTCACTTCTCATCTTTAGCCCAAGCCTGAATTTTAAAGTTTGCGTTTCCCTGCTTGCCCTGGAAACCCCTCAGGATTTGGCAAACAGATATGAAGAGGTCTCTCAAAATTTTCTGTTGATTTCTGCACATCAGGACTGGCCCCAGGGGCACCTCTGAGCCTGCCCACCAGTTCCTTTGGAGCTGTCATCCCCATTCTCCTCAGCCTGTCCCCTCCTGTCATCCTGGGCCTGGAATCCTCGGGGTGGGGGGGAGATAATGCTTTTTACTCCCTCTTAGTAAGATGCCCTGGACTCTCAGCCCTCACCCAGCCAGGCAGGATTTTCACCAACAACTCCCTCTGTCTGCACTGCATCAAGCTCTGATGGTCATACTTAAGATCCCATTTTGGATTAGAGGAGCTGGGGGCCCCTGGGGGAGGCTGCTGTGTTGAGTTGATTTGTGGTGATGAGGGGGAGGGTGTCCAGGAGGAGAAAAGCTCAGAGGTGCTAACAGGAGGGGAAGGCTTTGCACCACTCAGGTTGTTGGCCTCCAGCCTTATGTTTCAGTTATTGATGCACAGGCCGAATTTCTTCCGATTCTTCCGAACCTTCTCAGCTGCGGTGTTTGGCATAGTTTCTCTTGCACGGTGGGCCCTCAACTGTCGCAGAAATTACTCTATTGGCAGGTTCAGAAAGAGCATGCCCAGACAGAGACCTTGCTATTATGTTGGTCTTTGTCTCCAGAGCCCCCTCTCCTGAGCCTCTCAAGGTCCAGGATCAGGCCCGTTGTCTTTCTTTATACCCTACCTAGCACCTCTGAGAGCACCTGCCACTCGGTTGGGGCTTAATAAATTTTAGCTGAATCAATGGATGCGGGGGAAGGAAAGAAGTGGAGGTGTGTTTGCTGGACAGTACCAGGCTGAGAGGGAGAGGGAAAAACCTTGGTGCGGGCTTTTGCTTTGGCCAGAGGCGGAGATTTTTGAGGAAGGGAGGTGCCCCCACCCCCCACCCCCCAGCTGTGATCATGGGGCTGCGTGAGGTAGAAGAGGTGGGTGCATTCATTCCACCCACTGGTGCAGAGATACCTACCGTGTGCAAGGTGCAGGAAATACAAAGATAAGAACTCTGGTCCTGTATCCAGGGGCACCGGTGTCATGGGGGTGGGGAGCGGAGGGGAGTAAATCAGTGATTACAATGGAGTGGATGAGTGTGCTGATGGAGTGCAGCAGGTTGCTATGGGAGCGAGGACACGCGGCTCTCAGAAGGCAGTAATTACGGTGCGGCTGAAGAGCAGGCGAGGGCGGGGGGGGGGGGGGGGGCGCCGGCGGGGGAAGGGGGCCCCCCCGATTGGCGATGAGACCCGACCAGATCACAAAGGGCATCCTCTGCTGGGTGATGAGGTCGAGATTTTATCCCGAAAATCGTGGGGGAGCCATCGGAGGGCTCTGACAAGATCAGATTTGCATTTAAGAAAAATCCCTCTGACAGTGACAATGTTGAGTTGGGGACAGGAGCAGGGAGAGACTGACAGGAAGGAGGGTGCTGAGAAAATGGGCCAGGCAAGAAATTATCTGATTCTGAGTGAGCTCGATTTGCATTTAATTTTTCTTCACCTCCCCGTTTTTTTCAGCCTTTTGGTTTTGGTGTAGTTTTTTTTTTTTTTTTTTCTCTAGGATGAGTCACCATGGAAAAGCTTCACTTGAGCAATCAGCTCTGTGGATTTTAATGGCTTTTTTCTGATTACAAAATTAATAAATATTCATGTTAGATAATTTGGAAAATAGGGGAAAGCACAAAGGAGAAAACAAAAACCACCCGTGCTCTGAGCATCTAGAGCAAAACACAATTTAGCGTAAATATTGCTTTGCCAATCCACCCCCCCCCCACAGCGGATCATTCTCATTAGCATACAAATATAGAGGTATTTCTTTTGCCCTAAAAAAAATCTGCTCTTGATCCCTTCTCTCCACCTCCAGCTATCTATCACCCCATTTCTCTGCTTCCGCACACAGCAAAACTCCTGGAAATATGGGCTGTACTTGCCATCTCCATCCCTCTCTTGGGGCAAACCATCCACCCCTCATGTCACCCAAACTGTGTCATGACCCACAGCTCCTAAGTCCAACTCAGCGGTCAGCTGTGAGTGCCCATTGTTCTTTCACCTTTCAGCACAACTGGTCACTCTCTCCTCTTTTGAAACATGTCCTGTCTTGGCTTCTGCCCTCTCTTGTCTTATCCCACCTTACTGGCTGCTCCTTTTCATGTTGTTTTCCTGTTTCCCAGCTCTGTCCTTTGACCTCTCCTCTACCCCTTCATCCGGGATCCCGGTGTTGACTACCTTCAGCCCCCTGAAGGTCCCCATACTTAGAGCTCCAGCCTGACTCCTACATTCAACCCGAACTCTAGCCTCCTATGTCCCACCACCTCCGCCCCATTACCACCTGCCTGCTTAGCTAGTGGGCGTCTCAGACTTCACTGTTCCAACCTGAGTACCACCCCCTGCCCGACCCGCTCCTCCACAGCCTTCTCCGTCTCAGGCAATGGCAACGCCAACCCTTCTGGTCACTCAGACAAGGAGCCTGGAGTCATCCGTGACTCCTTTCTCACATCCCACATTCAGTTTGTCAGCAAATCCCATCAGTTCTCCCTTTAAAATGTATCTGACCATTCCATGCTGCCACCTCAGGCCAGTGCGCCATCAGCCCCACCCCTGGATTATTCCAGGAGTTTTCTACTGCTCTTCCCAACTCCACCCTTGCCTCCTGGTTGCCCAGTCTCAGACCAGCATTCAGAGGGGTCCCTTAAAATTATTAGTATTACATATTGTATTCAATGATGTCACTTCTCTGCCTAAAACCCTTAATGACTTCCCAACTCAGAGTAAAAGCCAAAGTCCTTAAAATGGCTACAAGGCGCCACATGATCTATGCCCCACTCCCACATCCCCAACTGCTCTCCCCTTGCTCACTCTGCTCCAGGCACCTGGACCTCCTTAACGTTCCTTGAACTTGCCTGACCCATTCCTGCCTCAGAGCCCTTGACTAGATTCATACCTCAGGGCCCTTTGCCCTTCCTGGTCCGTATGCCTGGAATGCTGTTTCTGCAGGTATCTGCATGACCTCTTCCCTCACTGCTTTCAAAACCTTGTTCACAGGTCACCTTTTCACCTTGTTTTAAGTTGTACCCTTCTCCTACATTCCCCAATTCCCTCCCACCTTCCACTGCCTCACTTTTCTCCTTGGCGCTTACCACCTTCTAGTATCCTATCTAATTTATGTAATTATGCTGTTTATTGTCTGTCTCCCCTGACAGACTGTAAGCTCCAGGAAGGCAGGCAGTTTTCTTTCCTTGGCTGCCATATCTTTAGTACCCAGTGTGTGCTCAACAAACACCTGTTCACTGAAATAAGAGATTAAAAAAGTGGCCATGACGGTGGCTGGGGCGGGGTTGGGCAGCAGCCCTTAAAAGGGGAGGAGGCCAGGCAGGGATGAGCAGGAGAAGGCAAGGGAGGACAGCAGCAGGCATGGGCAAGGGCCTGAGGGAGAGGCAGAGTCTGGCTGCTCCAAGGGTGCAGGGAGAGAAGGCCTGGCCCTTCTCTTGGTCCTGGGAGGGGGGCCTTTGCTGACTGACCGTTAATGGGGGCCGTCTGCCATCCAAGTCCTCCAGATACCACTTCTCTCTGGAGGACTCCAGATTTCCCAGTCATGCCTGGTAATGACTGTTCCACCACAGAGTCCGGGAGTTGCCCCCAGGATGACTATTGCCCGGCCTTCTTCCTCCGGCTCCTCATAGCTGAATGTTAGGCAACGGTTCAAGCACTTACCGATTAACCCTTCTCATCCTCACGAGAACACTTTAAAGAATGTGCTCAAGTGTGTGATA